AATAAAAGCGATTATTTTTAATTTCCGTTCTTATCCTCCATAATGGAGCTATTAGACTTTGGCAGATCCCTTAATATGATTATCCTTTTTGAATGATTTCGAACTGAAATGTTTGTGCTGATGGTGGTAATCGCAGTGGAGTTTGAAGAACGAGGCTGTAGGCTCACGCTCCAGGAGCTCACGACCCCGAAGTGCCATCAACTGTGGTTTGATGGGCAGGTGAGGATGAAACCTTGGAGGGGAAATGGGGCCCTGGTGGGCTCTTGGTTCTGCCTGTAAGGACGGGTCTGGCTAACCGTGCCACCAGTGCAGTGGGTCCCAGATAGGGCCAGGTGGAGGCTTTCTGTTGGAGACCTGCTTCTCCCGAGCATTGAGGACAGCTGTCCATCATCAATCCAGAATCCAAAAGCAGTCATCCGCTGAGCTCACCAGCAACACTCACTGGCCCAGCCAGGGGTGAGGATACGCCTTTTAATTATTTAGTCTCCACATCGACCGGTGATACATCAGTCACCTGCTTGAACCTTGCCCCGCTCCCAGCACAGTGGGGCAGCCTCGGAGCCCTGCTGTTTGCAGGACTGGGTTCTTGGCTTAGCAGGGAAGCCGTCTCCTCGGGGCTGGTCTCCCAGGCTGCTTCCAGCCCCTGCAAGGCACTGCTCTGCACCATCTCTGTCAAGCTTGGCCTCATTAGAGTGCCAAGATGTGTACCAGCGCCCAGGAACCCTCTTGACATGGTGGCAGGTGTTTGACTGTGGCCTTTAGGGGACCTTTCCACATGCCACCAACAGCAGTAATGATCACATGCTCATTCTACATCTTCGTTGCCTGAGGACCAGCCTCCCGCCCTTCATCTTTGGGTTCTGACAGCCCACCAGGATGCAGACAGCAGCCTGCTTGTCTGTGACCTCTTTGTGGGGCCTCGTGACAGCTGGGTGGCTGCTGTGGCCTAACTTCAATGAGGAGGCACTAGGGGACCTCTCCGTCCTGTCGTGGGGAATCCCAGGGCTTCTACTGTGGGACCTGCTGGAATACGCTGAATAGAGCTGTGAGCAGCAGGTAAGAGGACCCAGGGTGACTCATACTGTGAATCCATCTCTCCTCGCCGCCACCGCAACCGGACGATATCATCCAGATAAAGCCAGTTACATGAAGAGATCAGGCTGCGTGATGGTGAAAGATGTTTCCTAAAGGGCGACCTGAGAGGTACCGGGAAGGAAGAAGCAGCCTGTGTCCTTGACAGTGAAAGTCCTGTGCTTTGAATCCTTCCCTCCTCCTTTGTTCGTCCCTCCCTCCCTCCCCTAGCGACCGCACACTGTCCTGCTGCCCTTGGCTTCTGGTTCAGGTCAGCTAGTTTGTCCCTGGGGCATCACGGGGCCCTTCCCCACCAGGGGCGGTCACCAGATCTGTTACACTCATTCATTCATTCAACAGTATCTAGCTCTGTGTCAGCAAGGCACTCACTCCTGGGAATACAACGAGAAATTAGGGGGATAACTTCTCTGCTCTTGGAGACCTGGCAGTTCAAGAGGGAGATGGCTCCACAGGCTGGTTCTGCTGGTACAAACCCAAATTCCTAAGTCCCATCTCTGTAAGTCTGGTTCCATAGTCTGGGCTGCACCCAGGAATCTGCATTTTCTAAGGAGCCCTCCGGGTGATGCTGTTGTAGGTGGATCCTGAACCAATCTCAGAGAAACATGCTTTTCAGCCATGGGGCTGTGCCCAGAGCCACCCCTTCGAGAGTGTTTGTTGACTGCTGTGCCCTGTGATTCTAACTGCCCTGCTTGCCCTTGAGGGGTTAGAAAGCACAGCGTCTTAGAGCAGGATCTTAACTACGCATGCGTGTTAGCATTGGGAATTTTCAGACCTTGAGTTTAGGGGTTGGAGAGACTGTTCTAACATCTCAGAATTTCTTGATGTGCTCAGCAATGGCTCTCTAGAAAACTGAGGTGACACCAGCACTGGCTCCCGTTCCCCCTTCTCTGCAGACTCCCACCCTCACAAGACCACACGTCCCATCTCCAAGCACACATCACTGGCATTTCTCCATCACTCGAGTGACCCCGGCTTGTAACTCTCCCAGAGTGAATCTTCCCTGAAGTTTGCCTCTTCTGGCTGTGTGATAAAACATCCACCCTCCCCCGATCATAAGGAGAGGGTGGGGGAGATAGCGCGTGTCATCGGCACCATTCAGTTGCAAAGAACAGAAACCTGTCTAATACACACGGGTTAAGTCAAGGAGGACAGATCTGGCTTCCCTGGTGGCACAGTCGTTGGGAATCTGCCTACCAATGCAGGGGACACGGGTTCGAGGCCTGGTCCAGGAGGGTCCCACATGCCGCGGAGCAACTGGGCCCATGTGCCACAACTACTGAGCCTGCGCTCTGGAGCCCTTGAACCACAACTGCTGAGCCCGCTGTGCCACAACTACTGAAGCCCGCACGCCTGGAGCCCGTGCTCTGCAACAAGAGAAACCACCTCAATGAGAAGCCCACGCACCCCAACGAAGGGTAGCCCCCGCTCACCGCAACTAGAGAAAGCCCGCACACAGCAATGAAGACCCAACGCAGCCAAAAATAAATAAAATTTAAACAAATAATAAATAAAAGGAGGACAGATCACAAAGACCCAGGGGGCTCGCACATGACCCAGGGGCAGAGAGCGGAGCCAGACCTGTCAGCTGATGGGCAGCCGAAGACACCAGGCCGCCCCCCATCCCGTGATCTCACACCTCCACAGTGCATCTGCCTCCCTCTGCTCAGCCATCCTTGTACAGGGACCACCGGAGCTGCCCCCAGATGGCAGCCTGAGCCCTACAGATGGGTGAGACCATCTAGTTCTAGCTCCCAGCACTGTCTCGATCCCAAGTTTCAGGAAAAACATAATCTGCTTGACCCCATTTGGGATCTGTGCTCACTCCTGGTTCAGTTAACTGAGATAAGAGTTGGGCTCACATAGTGCCTTTGCAAGCAAGGGGCCAGCTGCTTCTCTCAGAGGGACCGAAGGCTGCAGGAAATGACTGCCGTCCTGGCGTAACTGGTACAGCTGCCCCAGTAGGGGGCAGTGTTCTGTGTCCATAGGTGTGATTGGTGTGAGCTTCCTGGAGAAACGCGGAGGGCAGAGGAGCCTTATTTATTGAGCCCCTGCTGTCTGCACTGAGCTCATTGCAAATCTTTTCACAGCGATACTCCACAGAGACTTAACTGGGATCCAGGAGGGTCCATTAACTTCACACAAGTACACTTTCCCATGGCAGCACCCATGTTCATCAAACTAGGTCCGTTCAACTCTGAACACTCACCTTTCCAGTGAGTCCCACTGCTGCCGCACCACGTGGGCACCGAGAGGAGTCAAAAATCTGGACATTAAGGTCAAAGTCAAGCTCAAGATCTGGAGGAGCGGACGAGGATCTAACGCTGAGGTCTACAGTTCAGCTCAGGAGCATCCCACTGGAGAGCTTCCCGGCGGCCCCAGTGGAATTTCACGGAGCCTCCCGTATGAGACGTCTGTTTTGCCCAGGAAAGCATCTGAACAGCATTTCTGGCGTTTGGCAGTCTGGGAGTTTGCCAGCTCCTTCACGAAGCCATTTCTGAAGAGTGCAGTGAAGCAGAAAGGCTAAAATGAAGGGCTTTGCAGTTGGCTGGGTCCTGACCTCTACTCTGTGATTCATGCCAGGCCGCGAGCTCTCCGCGGGCTTCAGCTGGAGAGGTCCTACCTCCTTCACACGACCATGGATGTTTTTAAGTGAGAGAGTGCGTGAAATGTGCTTTGCATTTATGCTTGAGCTGTAGTAATTACTCGATAAATGGCTGCGATAATCATAGTAATAATAATAACTTAGTTACTTGAACGCAGGAAGTATGTCGTGTGTTTCTTTACCCCCTACGGCACCAGTGAAATGCCTTAGAGGCGGCTTCTCCTTCCCCTCCTTCAAGTGAGATACAGTTGACACATAACAACGTATAAGTCTAAAGTATACAGCATGTTGATTTGATCTCTGTACTGCAGTAAGATAACCACTGTAGCATTAGCTAACGCCCCTAACAGGTCACATAATTATCGTTTCTTTTTGTGATGAGAATATTTAAGATCTACTCTCTTGGCAACTTTGAAGTATATAAATACAGTATTTTTAAAAATATTTTATTTATTTAGGCTGCATGGGGTCATAGTTGTGGCACAGAGGATCTTTTAGTTGCGGCATGGAGGCTCTTAGTTGTGGCACGTATGTGGGATCTAGTTCCCCAAACCCAGGCCCCCTGCATTGGGAGTGCGGAGTCTTACCCACTGGACCACCAGGGAAGTCCAGTATTCTTTTTACTTTTTAAAATACATTTATTTATTAATTTATTTGTTTTTGGCTGCGTTGGGTCTTCGTTGCTGCGCAGGCTTTCTCTAGTTGAGACGAGTGGGGGCTTCTCTTCATTGCAGCGCGCAGGCCTCTCACTGTGGTGGCCTCTTCCGTTGCGGAGCACGGGCTCCAGGCGCACGGGCTTCGGTAGCTGTGGCTCGTGGGCTCCAGAACACAGCCCCAGCAGTTGTGGCGCACAGGCCCAGCCGCTCCGTGGCATGTGCGATCCTCCGGGACCAGGGGTCAAACCTGTGTCCCCTGCATGGGCAGGCGGACTCCCAACCACTGCGCCACCAGGGAAACCCCAAGTCCAGTATTCTCAACGGTAATCACAGTGCTGTGCATTAGATCCCCAGAACTTGTTTATCTTCTAACTGCAACTTTAGACCCTTTGACCAGCATCTCCCCAATTCCTCCATCCCCCAGCCTCTGGTAACCACCAATCTACTCTCTGTCTCTATGATTTGACTGTTTTAGATTCCACATATAAGAGAGTTCTACAGTATTTGTCTTTCTCTGACTTGTTCCGCTCAGCATAACGCCCTCAAGGTCCATCTGTGTTGTTGCAAATGGCAGGATTTCCTTTTCTCGCGGCTGAGTAATATTCGCGTGTATGTATCACATGACTGTTGCTTCTTTCTCCCTCCCGCAGAACACCAGCCATGATTGGCTGCTCGTTTGTGGTCAACAGGAGGTTCTTTGGTGAAATTGGTCTTCTGGACCCTGGGATGGATGTGTATGGAGGAGAAAATATCGAACTTGGAATCAAGGTTTGTGACATGGCATCCTTTCCTCTTAGTCTGTTTGTGTTTGTGAGTAGAACTGCCTGGTCATTTTTGCTGTGTATTTGAAGCTTCTTTAGCTGGTGAATGACAGAATCATTCACCCCACTTCTGTTCCTAAAGATGTTCCAGCAGGGTTGTCACCCCTCCTCAGACGGGGGGGGAGACCTGGCCTTCCCCCCTCAAAAGGTTGAACAATTTGTCCATGCCTGGGAGACCCAATCTGGACATTAGCTAGAGAATTTGGTTCCCACTCCCATCCAGTTTCACTCTCTCCTTAAATTTTTCTTAAAATTAACTCATCTCCTTAAATTAGAATTTACATGCTACATATTTTGACAGTTCATGTGCATCATAGAATCATAAGATGCCAGAGGAGAGAAGGGCCATGTTCTGTGGGACTCTCCCATTTCTCAGAAATGCTTCTAAGGAGGACGATGGGGGGGGTGAGGAAGAATACGCAGAATGGGCCTCTTGCTGGCCCCCCATTCAGATCAGCTCCACTGCTGGATATTTTAGACACTGGGTATTGCTTTAGATTCTGTTTGGAAGATGAAGTTCACTGTAAAAAAAAAAAGTTGGACAAATTGATGCATTCCAACCTCTCCACTTTAGTGAATGAACCCGAATGAGGCGTGTGGATGGGGGACACCTGGTAACCACTTAACTGGTACGTCCTCCTCCATACCGCAAAGAGGGGGGTCCTGGGGGATGATGCCCAGCTGGGGGTCTCTGTGTCCCCACTGCTCCCTGTCCTGAGCTTGTGCGTTCCTGAGCCCCTGGGAAGTAGGCTTGTTGGAAACGACTCAGGACACAACTGAAAGGCTTAAGTTTATTGAATTTCTTCCTCCTTCCGCTGCTGGAATCTCCTTCTTGTTCTAGCCAGGCAAGTACCTAGTACCTAGGTGCAAGTACTGCTGTCAAAGCCTGCTCTCTGTGTCAGATTTCACTCGTTATCCCTAACTGCTCAGGACCTTTAAGACACGGCATTGCCCCCTCCTCTGCACCTGAGCCCCCTTCGTGGAATGGAAGGCTTCATGTCCTCGTGATGTAATGAACGTCCAGGCTGCAGAAGCAAAGAGGATGGTGGAGACCTTCCCTGGATCCTAAAATCACTCCCTTTTGGAGACTGCAGACTCTTGCTGTGTTTTCAATTCCAGGCTGGGTTCTTTCCTAAGTGGAATTTGCATAAGATTTCTTTGAAAGCCGAGCAATTAAAAAGCCCATGAATATGTTATCGTAGCTAATATACTTGGCATTTACCCATTTGAAGTTTAATTGAAGGAAGAGATTTGGGCCCAGCATGTTGAACTTGGCCTGTAACTGCAGTCTCTGCCCTGCTCCCATCTCCTCATCCCTTCTCACGCTGCTCTTTTCCTTAGCCCTCATCCGCTTCTAGCACGCCAGGGAATTGACTTATTTTTTATGCGTATTGTATTTCTCTACCTTTACTAGCTAGATTGCAAGCTTTATGGGGCACAGATCTTTGTGGGGCTCACCTTTGCATCCCAAGCATGTAGAACCATGCTTAACACATGGCTCAGTAGGTATCTGTTAGATTGATGACTGAATGCCTATTAGGACCCAACATGCATAGAAGCAGCGACATCATGGAGGCAAGCCCGACGGTGAAATGGGAGGTGATAACTTGTCCAGGTACTTATTTGCGAAAGGAAGGAGCCGAAGGCAGCCCTGCATTGAGTTGGCTAAGCTTCTTAAATTTTTTATAAATTTTATGATAGTTTATAAAATTATATGTATATTTGTATATAATATGTATACAATTATTAAAATTTATAATAATTTTGTAATTTATTAATTTTAATAACTTAATACTTTTATTAAGGGAGATTTGAATGTCTCGATATGCTGTGAGAAGGAACCCAGTGGAGGGCCAGACGTCACCAACAGGGGGGAGAACAGGATAAGGGAGCACTGTCCCTACGGAGGCAGGGGCACAGGTGGAGAGGTTATGGGGACAGGAGGGCCCCCAGATTTGATTGCCGTGGCAGGCTGCACTCTGGGGAGAACAGAGGTGGTGACAGCGGAACCCACTGCTAAGGCTTGCTAGGATGTTGGTCTCCCCATGTTTGCAAAGCAAAGGTCTGGGTGCCAGGCTGTGCCAGGCTCCACGTTGATGGCAGTGACAGTCCTTCGTGGCTACCCGATCCCTGCAGGAGTGGAGGGGCTTGTGAGTCTTGGTCCTGCAGCAGCACAGCCTAGTGGAGCACAGCCCCTGTGCCATGAGCTGAGGGCCCGTGAGTTCCGCTCTGCATCTCCATGTGGCAGGCTGGAGCGATGGGGCCCAGAGCCTGCTCTCTGACTTGTCTTCTCTGGGGTAGCTCCGAGCCTGGCTGTTCTCCACGCGTCTTTATGTAAGCATCCGATGGATGGGGCTCGGATCCCACCCTCATGCAATCACTTGCCCCTTATCCCGGGCACATCCGGCATCCACGCAGGACATTTGGGAATGTTTATGCCTCTTACTTCCCATAGACCGTGTCATCCCATGACCTACGAGCTGACTCTCCACAGAAGCTTTGGTTTTCTGCTGATTCTCAAAGCAGGAATTGACTGCTGTTGGTACCCTAAGGGCCAAGGCCTGGGTCCAGGGTCCACGTAGCCACCATCTACACAGTACTCTGTGTTCTTAAGGTGTGGTCCCTGACCAGTGCATCCACGCCACCTGGCCCTTGTTACAAATGCAGGTTCTCGGGCCCCATCCTACACTTACTGACACTCTGGGGTGGCGTCCAGCAACCTGTGTTTTAATAAGCCTTCCAGATGATTCTGTCACACACCCAAGTTTGAGAGCCCCTGATCTACGCCCGACCTTAGCCGGCTTCCTGGCAAATACGTATCTATTCTCAGAAATGAGCCCGGGTGAGAGTCCACATGCTTCAAGGCCCACCTTGAAAAATACATTATTAAGAAAGCCATCCCTGCTGCTTGAAAAAAAATCAGAGCTTATGTAATATATGTACACATATATACACATATATAATTATATAAAGTGTACACACATACATTATATAAATTAGCCTATAATAACCTATAAGAAATGACATAAAATTCTATGCTTTAGTTAAGTGGGGAAATTTTAATATGAGACCACATCTTTGTGATTTCTTTGACTAAGAAATAGGTCCATCTGTGATGTAACTATTCTCTAACATTTTTCATTACTTTTTAATTCCATCCTCAGTCATTAAAGAATAGGAAGAAGAGAAAGTCTCACTGTGGTTCAGGGAAAAAGAAACAGTAGAGTTTACTCTAGGGCTGTTGTTTGGATGAAAGGCAAGCTTGCCTGTGACCAAAACAGTCGATACAGTGGAGGGGGAAAAAAAGCTTTCCAGGGCTGAGAAAATAAATGAGATCAGAAATTGAAAGGTTTCATCTTGTTCAGAGTAACATTAATCAGAAACCATTAACGAGGCATGTTATAGTAACATGTCTAAATGGTAAGAGGAAAAAAAATTCTCCGAGGAGAAAAGACCAGATAGATTACTTCTAAGTGGTATAAAATCAGATGGCTTCAGGCTTCTCCAGTATATCCGTCGGCTTTGGGAAGAAAAGGCACTGTCTTATCCTGAGCTCTCATAGAAGAGCGTGACATACACCACTACTGAATCCTGTCTGGCAGCTATTCTGAAAGGAAGGCAATAGAAAGATGCTGTCAGATCCTCAAGCCACCGGAAAAGGTCTTAGCTCACCATGAATCTCAAGAACTGAATGAAAGGCAGAATTCCTACGTGTGTACATTGCTGTTGAAAATATTGTCGAGACAAGCATTTGAAGGACTGCCTCCTTCAAAGGGCTTAGAAATGATGGGCTGTCTGGGGTGGCCTAAGTCCCAGGGCTCCAGATGAACATGGAATCTCCCTCTCCCACTCTTTGCCTCATCTCTGGTTCTTTTTTTTTTTTTGCTCCCCATCTTGTGTCTTTTCTCTCACAAGCTGGTGGTATAATTCAGTGTGAGTCCAAAGGCCTCATAATCAGGGGGGCTGATGGCATGTACAGTCCTGGTCTGGCTCTGAAAGCTCAAGAATCAGGAGTACTGATGTCTGAGAGTGAAGATGGATAACTCAGCCCAAGTAGAAACGTGAAACAGCTCTGACGAGTGCTGTTGACCGATGCTCTGATCCCCACCCCAGCCACTCCTCTGTCCATGGGCTTTGGGACTCATCACCCAGCATCCATTTTAACCATGAAGGATCCTCCCTGCCCTCTATCAGACCCTTGACATCAAAATCCCCAATGTCCGGAAGCCTCTTGTGCCCTTTGTCTTCCATTTGGAACTCTGGGGCTTAAGTCTCCTCTGTCCATTGGATGTTGTGATTTGGATAATGGTCACCGCTGGAGGTGACCAAACCATCACTTCTGTCTCGTTTTCCTAATCCTTAGATTGTATGAGTCTTTGGTTCTTCCTTCCCTATTGGCGTTGGTCATCTCTGGCTATGGGAAGGTCTTCATGGTGCAGGGTTAGAGTATACCTGTGATAAAATTCAGAGCGAAAGTCCCTGGTCTTGTGTAGGTAGAATAGGCTTTGGGATTTCACCAACTGGTCTTTAATCTGGATGCATCTATTTCAGGTGGCCAACAGTTCAGATGAATGCTCTTGGATATAACGGGGAGCCTTCTCTGCTCTAGCAGACGCTTTCGCTAGGGAGACCACAGTAGACAGACATGGTCTCTATCTCCATGAAGTTTATAGTCAGGCAGAAAAACCATTCATTTAATAAGTAATTACCAATGGGATGAGTGTGAAAAGATAGGACAAGGGGAGAATAGAGAAGATAATAGGGGAATATATGCTACTCTAGGGAGTTGGGAAGCGCCTCCCTAAGGAAACGATGTTGAAGACTTGAAAAATATGTTGAATTTAGATAGGCCAAGAAGGTGTGGAAGTGGAGTGTAAGAGTAGAAGAATATTCCAGGCAGTTTTGCTTGTATGAGATGATTAAGTTGTAGAGATCTGTTAGACAGCA